TCCTCGTTGCCTCCTGACCTCTTTTCACACCACTCCCCACTCGTGGGTGCACTTGGCACCCCAAGTCTCCCTCCCCTTGAGAGCCAGTTATAACAGGATCCTCCAGGAAGCCTTCCTAGATTAGCTCAGTCTTCAGGGCACTCTTGTTGCCTCACTCGTCCATCCACAGCATCCACTGAGTTGAGCTGGGACCCCCCAAACAGTATGTTGACCTCCTAACCCCTGATATCTGTGAATGTGACTTTTTTAGGAAAGAGGGTCTTTGCAGATGTAATCAAGTTAAGGCGAGGTCCTACTGGATTAGGACAGCCCTAATCCAGTGACTGGTGTCCTTACAAGATGAGAGAAACGTGGACACAGACACCTAGGAGAGAAGGCCGTGGAGACAGAGGCAGAGCTTGGAGTCGTGTGACCACGAGCCAAGGAACACCAAGGATTTCTGGAGCCACGAGGAGCTAGGAAGAGGCGAGGAAGCCCCCTTCCTTGACTTCAGATTTCTAGAATTGTGAGAATCCATTTCTGTTGCTTTCAGCCACCAGTTTATGGCATTTTGCTTGGGCAGGCTTAGGAAGCCAATGCGAATGGCAGCTTTTATTTTGCCCAACCTGCCTGGGTCCTTTTATGTGCCCGCCTCTTTGATCTCATCCATTGGATAACCCCAGTTCTCTGGAGCTGGAGGCCTTTGGCTCAAGGCTTTGGTCCAGTCTGTAGCCACCTGGGGACATGGATAGATGCCTGACCTTTGTAGCCACTCCCCTTACTGCAGAGCTCGGAGGCGTCTTGCACACCTCTGAGCTGGGTTAGAATTCCCCTCCCCTCACTTACAAGTTGTGCCACATGGGTCAGCCACAGGGGCTCTCTGGGTCTCCGTTTCTTCTTTAATATGGGGGTTGGAAATGGCTAACCCTACCCCACCTCCCGTGTAAGATCTCGGCCAGCCAGAAAGCCCAACGCAAGTGTAAGAGATTATTAGAAAAAAAAAATCTGGAGAAAATGAAGCAATGGAGGGGAGAGACTTCTTTACTCCTTGTGGTCCCAACCACCCCCCCTCCCCCAGAGCTTGGTTGCCCAGCAAATGGACCTTCCTCCAGAGAAGGCCTGGGGAGCTTGGCCCCCATGTTTTCCAAGGACTCCAACCCCAACCGGGATTCTCGTTTTAGATGGTGTCTTGGTGATTTCACTTCCTTCATTTTCCTCAGAAGAGGACCTTGGGATATCCCACAAATCTGATCGTGTGCTCATCTGCTTAAAATCCTTAATCTGCTCCCAATTTCTCCTATGGATAAATTCCTTAGCAAGGTACGCGAGGCCCTTCTTGATCTGCCCTGCCTGCACTCCCGGCCCCTAGAATCTCCACGATGTGCAAGCTGTACCCCAAATAAGCCAGACCCTTTCTCCCAGCTGGCTTGAGACTGCCCCTACCTCTCCTTCAACAACAACAACAACAAGTCAGCTACTCACCTAATACACACGAATCATTTTACTTACGGGGCAGGGGGCGGGGGGGGGCTCTTTTTCTCCTAGCGAGGAATTATTTTGCCCATTTTACAAATAAGGAAACAGACTCGGAGAGGTTAACAACATATCCATAGTCAATCAGCACACGACAGTCATGATTTGAGCCCATCTCTCTTGCTTCAAAGCCTGGGGTCATCCTCCTCTGCCTGACTGGTCTCTCTCTTCTTTCAAAGTGCAGTTTGGGATTTTCTGGAAACCTGTCCTGACACCCCCAGTCCTTCTCTGCTGCCTAGTCACCACTGGTAGGGTACCTCTGGATTGCGCTAGCAAAGGCCCGACACTTACCTCATCAAATGGAAATGCAGATTTAGTCCCTTTGTCTCCCTTCTAAGATTGCGACTGCCCAGAGGGCGGGAACTCACGTCTAGGTAATGGGTGTTGAATGTCAAACAATGCTTTGGAACAGCCAATGGAACGAAAAAGCTGGAAGGGAGCTTTCCTGGGATATAAATGTAGAAATATGCTCATTTCTTCTTCTTTTTTTTTTTTTTTTCGATTTTTAACGTTTATTTCTGAGACAGCGAGCACAGGAGAGGGCCAGAAACAGGGCGACAGAGGATCCGAAGCAAGCTCTGCACAGCGAGCCAAAATCAAGAGTCCACCACTTAGGGGCGCCTGGGTGGCTCAGCGGGTTAGGCGGTTGATTCTGGCTCGGGTTGTGATCTGGCGGTTCATGAGTTCGAGCCCCGCGTCAGGTTCTGTGCTGACAGCTCAGAGCCTGGAACCTGCTTCAGATTCTGGGTCTCCCTCTCTCTCTGCCCCTCCTCCATGTGCACCCATATGTGTTCTCTCTCTCTCTCAAAAATAAACATTAAAAAAAATTTTTTAAGAGTCCGCTGCTTAACCCACTGAGCCACTCAGGCACCCCTATGTTTATTTCTTATTAGGGAGCCCTTTCTACTCTTTCCTTGCTAATCCTCAGACTCCTTCCTTGGGAAAAGAGTCTCCATCTTTCCAGGTTTGGCATGTGGAACCCCTTACACGGTGCGGCGCGGCTGATATCCTCGCCTTCCCTGTATGCTAGTTCACTTGAGGCAAAGCGGTGCTGTGGTCACAAGTTTTGAAATCAGACATGGCTCAGTCACTTCCTAGCTTGTCACCTTTGACAAGTTACATAACCTCTTCGAGCCTTAGTTTTCTCATCTGCAAAATGGGAAACTGCTTACCTCGTAAAGTTGATCTAAGGATTGGAGTACTTGTGAGATGGCATCATCATCGCTCTTGTTATACAGATTGGGAAATGAAGATGAGAGGAGGGGAGGGATCTTTCCAGGGAGGGATGGTGATAGGAGAGCCTATGGGGGGAGAGGGGGAGGGAGGCCTGGAGTCAGGCCATCTCACCCCAGATCCTGAGCTGCCTCCATGGCACCATGAGGTGCAGACCAAGGGGTTTACCACTGACATTCCCTATTTCCCCAGCTCGGTGAAGCACCCCAAAATGGACCTCCAAGACGTAAGTCCTCAGCAGATACCAGCTCCACCTCTTAGCGGCCCTCATAGATTCTAGTGGCTAGTCCCCCATTCTCATAATGGGAAGAACCTTTTTCAGACTGGCTGTACCCTCTGAGGTTCCGACCATTTAAAAATACTTCATTCCCATGCACAGATCGGGTACCATTTTGTGTGCTTGGAAAGTCCCCTCCCCCAACACACACACACACACACACACACACACACACACACACACACGGGGCTTTGGTTTCCTCTTGGAAAGTGGGGAGGAACCCCTTTTCTCAGGGAGAGTGGAAGGGGACGGCGCAGAAGTAACGTGGAAGGGGAAGACCAGACCAGGGCTGGACTTTGGAGTGGCTTCCTTAACATGCTGTTCCATCCCTCACAGGATCTGTGGTTCCTCCAGGATCTTCTAACAGTTACTTCAGCAGCTAACAGAACCGAAGTACGGGGTTCCAGAAGCAATAAGAAGGCACCCTTCCTCCCAGTCCGCTCACCAGGAACCCCCCCTGGCCACAGGATGCCTCTAGCCGGGGTGGGAAGGCAAGGCTGGGCCAGCAGGGGGCAGCACCCTTGGGGCCTGAGGAAGGGACAAACACCCCTGTCCCTCGAAGACCCAGGGGCAGAGTCACTTGCTCCAGGAGGCTCCCTCTGTTCCTGCCTCATTAGAATGAATGACACCATCACACAGGAAGTGCTGACTCCCCCACAGCCCTTGGTGGGGGGGGGGGGGGCAGGTTTTCCTTTGTAGTCCCCGTGCTGGC